TGGGTCTTATTAGCAGTAAAAATAGTTCGAATGCAAACAAGACATCACGTGGTAGATTTTACGGAATTTTCTAAAGAAACCTATTTTTACGTCGTGCATATAATTGAAACGAACATAAACCTGACTAAAAACTTATTATATGATTATTATATGATTCTAATCATGTTGACTTCAATCAGTTCTCTGATTCGAATAAAGTAATATTATCGGGTCTCGATGTGTCATGCAGCGTGGCAATCACAACCGTATTAATAATAAGAATTATTAATATAGAACTTTATTAATAATTAGGATCCGACAAAATCAGCTTATGCAAGCCAGATAACAGATTAGAATCAACCTGATCAGGGTTATGGGATAAATTTCTAAAATTGGATATTTGAGAAACAATATTTCCACAATATTAAATTTTTCGCTGTCGTAATTGAATCGCGCGTTCGCGGATATAAGATCGTAAAGTCAGAGAACGAAGGACTGTCTCTCTAGACGTTTCCACCTCACGATTCGTTTCCCTCGATACGTCGGGAGGGACCGTCGCGACGAATTATCAACGATGGGGGAGGCCTCGCTACATTTTGCCCGTAATGAAATTCTCGGGAACTGGAGCGTCGGATAAAAGAAGGGATCGGATTGTAATTACGAGATACAGGTCGACAGCTGCTTTTACAATAACGCGACGACAGGAAATATCGAATTAACCGGGACTTCTGTCGGGTGTAATTCGAACGGTTCGCGAGTGAGCAAGCGCAGGCGTCCGGAGTCTCCTTTGCAATATCTTATCTTACACGCGATTCATTATCAATGCGACGTTTGCCGACGCGGCCTGTACAAAAGAAAGGAACGAATGAGATGCTTGGATGATTAAACCGCGAGTTCAATGCACGGTTCCTTCTTTTATTATTGGCGACGGAGGCGTCACTCGTATGAAGTATTTTATTTGCGATTTTGACGTCGTTTCACTCCAGACGATTATCAATCACGTATAAATGATTGCCGTTTTGCATGAAATATTAAGCGACATTTCTGTCACTTATTCATAAAAAGCACCGCTTAATAATAACAGTCGGATCGTCTATAGAATTCTAAAAATTATGTCGCATTGACGTACAGTATTTCGCACTTTTGGACATCGATTATTCACGACAAATGCTACAAATATCGAAAGTTTCGTCTGGTCGTCCCGGTGAAAAGTGTTGAAATATTTATTGTAACGTCTATTTTAATTTTCCATGCAAATCCCACTCCTTTCTCTCTATTATTCGTCTGACGATCACCAAACATTGAGCTCGGTAATCATTAATATCTTAGGGAATACAAACAGTATTATATATATATATATATATATGTATATATATATATATATATATATATATATATATATATATATGCGCACGCGATGCAATATATATATATATATTATTATATATTTAACACGCAAACGCCCATCTATGTTATTCCATAAGAAAATTAATCAGATTATTCCTGTTACTTATGCAATATCACTCTAGCCTTTTCCTTTCCCTTCCTCCCACCCTCTCTCTTTCTCTCTTGTACTCTCTTATTAGGGGAAAAAGGTATGTTCGAACAATTTCTTCGTGATTTAAAGGATTTCTTATAATCTTAATAGATATTATAGAACTTTCTCAGAACGAGCATAAGGAATGTAGTGAGGGAGGAAAAGCTTCTTTTTACACGCTTTTGCACGATAACCAGCTGATAAAAGGGCTGAAATATGTCGGGAAGGAGGATCGGCGTCGTTTGACTTGCGGAACACAGGATGCGAGAGCGGAACCGATAACGAAGGTCCGGATAATATCCGATCTATCGAATATCCGCGCGTTCACCAATAATAGCGGTGGCTGCCCTTCTACGTGATGTCGGCGACGTTTAGAGCCGAGAAATTAAAGGCGAAAAGAGTACCCGACTAGAAGTTAGTGCCAAAAAGAAAGCTGTACGGGCTAGGTGTCGAGAATGACGAAGAGTATCCGGATTTTCGGTCGAACAAAATAAGCGCCGAAAGGCGCACGGAATCCTGAGAGGGATGTTAGAATCCAGGTCGTATCAGGAAAATGGGGTCCTTCTTCGCCGTATCTGATGGATTTGTTTTCGAAGCGCTCCGTCGTACATAGACGACGGTTCTGAGTCATGAGGGTCTCCTTATTGGTAAAAATATGAAGTAGAGAGAGCGTAAATACAGCAAGATGCGAATCCATTCCTTGGAATCCTCGCAGAAAATTTAGTTCGGCATCTTGTCGACAAAATCTGTCTGAATCACTGACAGCGTCAAATCGGTCGAAAGTTGGGTGGAGTAATTAGAATAGTAATTAGAGTTTGGGGCAAGTAACACTCTCACAGCACGGCATTTACTTATAAACGCACATCACTACACAAATTCATCGTGACGACCTTGTTCGCAACGAGTAAATAGCGAAGGTGCTCTTCTTTACGCGCTTCTCATTCGCCGCGTCGATTAAACTTTCTAACGATACACAAAGTGCGCACACACATTGAGAAAGAGATAGGGGATACACAGATCCGAGAGAAGTCGTCGGTTGCACTCTGCAGGAAGAAGGAAGAACGGAGTATGTAACTTCCTATTCACTCTATTGAAATGCGCACTCAGTGTTTAGCATTCCCCTCCATTATCGTCACTTCTTCGACGCCGGAATACCTTTGCGGACAAGAAAAATACAGACGGACAGATCAGTATGGAGAAGGAGGATGTACGTGGCTGGAAAGAGAGAGAAAGAGAAAGAGAGAAGAGAGGAGAAGAACAGGAGATGGGTGCTGGACGGTCGTAAGCAGAGAAGGAGTGAAAGAGAGAAGAAGAGAACACACAGAGAAAAAGGCCCGATCGTCGGTACTTGTATACTTGTATATACGTGCACGTATGTAGAGGAAGAACAAGCGGCAGAAGGAGAAAGAGCAGAAGGTGAGAGAGACGTGGAAGGGATGCAGTCGTGCCGCAACTATCAGGGCCGATCGAAAGACTGGCGGTGCCCTTGTTCGTACATCTCAAGTACGGATGCAAACACAGCGATAAAATTTCAAACACCTCCTTCAGCACGTGGATGCAAGCAAAATGCGGCGTCCGACTTGGCGGCGACAATGGCGAGAGAAGCTACTCGTTCCGCTGGTTAAAGGCTCGCTGGAGTAGATCAGATGCATGCGAATTTATATATCCAGAAGAGCAGCTAAAGAGAAGGAGGATCAATGAGGAGAGATGAGAGAGGGAAGAAATGAATTCGTACCGGAACTTTCAGGACTGTCCGAGCGCTACCGAGGACCCTGCGTGATCGTGAAAGAAGAAGTTCGAATGGGCTCGGACGAGGTGATTGATGTGCCGTTAATGAGACCAATAGCTGTCTCAGTATGACGGGCGTTAAACTGGAGTACGATTGTCAGGCAGGGAACGCTGAGAGACCGTTACATAACTGTCACGTTTTTGCGACTGGATACACTTAATGTTCTCCAATTATCGATATCGTTATCAGCGCCCGAGTCGGTTGGTTTTCCTTATTAGAAGCGGATCCTCGCGAGCACTCTGAAACAATTAAGTCAGCGTATGTCGGACAAAACATAGCGTCCGGCATTTGCATAATTCCGCTTCGAGCTACAGCGCAAATGTTTTCGTCATTGAATTAGTTGGCATTAACAGTTAGTAGGTTAATAATATTATAACGCCAACTTTGACCCTGTTCCAAAATACGTCGCTGAAGTTTCCCTTGCGTGCGCTTCCTTATTCAATATAATCCGCGGAACTAACCAGTGATAAATAACGGTAATAACGACAGCAGCAAATAAAAGTTCATTTCGAAAACCTATCGAGTCGGAAATGATCAAGTGCGCCGATAATTTATATGGATTTAACGTAACGTCCGTATCGCCGCGTATAGTTACTCGCGTGCTTTTCCAATTATTATAATCATTTTTGTAATGACATTATTTCCCGAGAAAAAAGTCAATATACCAAATGATACATTTCGACGGTATCAGCTCCACGTTTTATAGGTCGATAAATTTAACTGCCGCTCTCCAATATTCTGCAACACGAACTGTCAGATAAATCTTTATTTGCATTCTGCCGGAACGTGACATTACGGCAAAATAATTATCCCAATAAAGGAACCGCGCGTTCTCCGATAAGAGATATCGACGTAGCGGAAAATAAAAATGGAAACACATCGAATGAAAAAATTCGGTTGCATATCCCGATATTAAAACACCCCATTTACCGCCACTGACCTACATATCTCCATCTCATATTTTTATATGATCGGTCAACAAGACTGTATCTCGCGTCGCTAGGAAGCTTTAAAAAAAAAAGATGTATATGGGAGCCAGGTGAGTAATCACGGTGTGTCGAACGAACCGAGATGAAAAATTGAAAGAGGATTAAGAGGGAGTCGAAGTGCCCCCTCAGTGACACGAAGATCATGCGAGAATTCGAGTCTATGTCTAATGTTAAAGAAAGCAACCAAACTGGAAGAAAGAAAATCAAAGCCATGGGTCTGGTTGTGCCGCTGCTCCGACACTGGCATCCGCCGAGTCTGCTCGCTCGCTCGCTCATTCTCTCATTCGACGTCTCGCTCATGCCTTCACCTGGCGACCGGGAGAAAGGGAGATCGCACGCGGCATGCTGGCGGGAGAGATCCAGAGGAACCGAGAGAGAAACCGTGGAAAGACCGAAGGGAACCAAGGCAGACCGAAAGAGACCGAGCGAGAGATCGAGGGGGGTTGGAGAGTGGCCAAGAGTCAGAGAGAGATCGACGACACCGGGACCGAAAGAGAGCGAAGCTACGCTGCATAACGCTGCCGCGAGACAAGGAAAGGTGCAGCGGGGGCGTTCGGAACCGTCAGTGGCGGGGATGGACCGCGACGGGTCGGAGTCGTGGGCGCGAAATGGTCGGGCGAAGGGAGCAAGGGGAGCGAAGGGAGAGGGACAGGAGAGAGAGGGAAGTAAAGGCACGGCGGGAGAGCAACCCGACCGACCGACCGACCGTCTACCAGTCAGTCATCCGTGCTCCGTCGTGGGTGTGAGATCGCGACGGACGATTCGCTCGGTGTGGTTATCCGCGACGACGCCTGATAGTCTGGCACGCAGTGGTTATCACGACGACGACGACGACGACGACGACGACGAGACGGGACGCGACGCGACGCGACAACGGGATCAGACGCCATTATCGGGCGCGAATTCGCAAACCGCAGGATCCACCAAGTTTTCGGCTGTGCTCGCACTTGGGTGTAGCAGCCACGCAGCGCCCTGCACGTCCTCTCATCTGCCGCGTCTTCCGCGTTCCTTCTGGAGCGGCAAGGCGTCGACCGAGGAGAAAGATAGAGAAAGAAAGACTCAGCTGGCGGCGATATCCAGCGAGTGCGGACGGTGAGCGAGTTCATGGATTTATTTATATTTATCTTGTCTCGTTCATGACGCGGTCACGATGTATCCACGTAGGCGACCAGCCAGCCTCGTTGCTTGCTCCGAATCGGCACAGCCAGCTGTCACGTGACCTTACACCGTCGCTATCCCCGCGAGGTGCGAGAAACCGTTAGACAGCCTCTCTCCCGAGACCGTGACGCTGATTTTCAGCGAAGGTCGCGGAGTGGTTTCGTCGCTCGCCGGTGCCGCGCGATTTCAGCGATTTTCCTCGCGAAAACGCGACGGAAAGATCGCCACGTGACGTTACGTGATATTCCGAGGCATGAAGGTCAAAGGCTCGTGGCATGACCTCGTGGGAATGTGGTCGTTACTCAGGATCGCGGCATATAAGGCTTGTTTACGCCTGCGGTGAGAGAAGTCGCACCCGCTCTTCTTGCGACGCGTCACGTGACGTTTCGGAGTCACGGGACGCGCGGCGCGCGTCACGTGCGTCGACCTTCACGCGCACCGGATGGCGGCTTCAATTTTTAACAATAGCTCGTGTATACATGCATAATCGTTTATCCGGCCTCTATAGATCCGCTCTCTGTTTCAATATGCAGACGCTTATGCTTTATTTATCGTAGACGGTCTCATATGCATAATGCCAGAGATACTCTGTACTGCGTGGCCTCGTGAGTGTATCTCCTAGAGCCAATTTAAGACGGGTTCGGTACAAGTAGTGATTTTTATACAAAGCGACCAGAGAAACTCTCCTGCGCACAAAGGAGTCACATTGAAGAGCGTTTTATTCACCTTTCATATTGTTTTCATAACGTCACTTTTGTCCTCAATTTAATATCTAACGCAAACGCCGTAGACAGAGCGCGATGTCACATGCAAATATGAGAGAGAATAATCGGGAACAATTCGCAGGCTCGTGATAAACAATATATTGCGAGTAGCGGCAGTAAAAAGTCCAGAAATGCAAGAGGCGGATCTGAAGTGCAGTTACGGATGCTCTCTCTATGTCCGTAGTATACTTTATTACGCGCTTTGTCAATATCAATATATATTGCAAGCAGTAATATTCTTTATTACGAGTTACTGCAGAGGACACAGCACGGAAAAGAGAAAAGATCATAGAACTTGAAAGAAGGCTAACAGAGAGAAAGATCAATTGTTTTTCAATCTTTTGGAAATAAAACACATGTGATTCCAATAATCTCGACGTTCTCGACTCTGTTTTTAACTCTTTTTTTTCTTTTTTTAATTACCAACTCTTCCTTTTTTTCCCAATTAACTCTTTTGAATTCGCAGTAATTTTTCAGTTCCTCTCCCCCTCTCGAAATGAGAACATACTTCGCAAGAGTTATAACGGCTTAAATCTCATATTTCGCGCACACCGACGCCGTACCAGTTCCAATTAAATGTTCGCTTATCGAAAAATATCCGTTTCTCCTGAGGGAGAGAGAACGATCGCAACCCCGGTTTCATGGAGCGATGTTAATTTGCAACGCGGTGTTTACCGATCGCGAGCGCGCAGCAGCCCGGGATAAAATAAATTCGCCCGCAAAACGCGGCACGCCAATCTCTTTATTGCGGCCGCGCGTGTATTTCCCCGGGTTTCGCGGCATACGCGATCGGGAAAGTAATTTCGTTCGATTGCATTGCTACCGAGGCTGAAACGCGATTTTCGATCACGAACGAGAGATCGCGACTCTTCTCCACGATTATCCGCGGTCCCCAGACGCGTTTGCACTCTCGGCGCACGGCTCGGCGCGTCAAACGTCACGCGAGACGCGCTCTCAGATAAATTCTAGAGATGGTATTTACTCGATGAGGATTTCCCAGGTACGCGTTCGATGCTTCGCCGAAGCGAGCTTCAAATTAGAAAGCCGTTAGACGGTAGTCCGGTTAAAATTGCTGCGTAGCACACTGCCAATTTGCAACGTCGAGCTCAAATTCAACAAAGATAAGCTGGGAAATTCAAACTAGAGATTCGAATTTCGTAGACTAAGTTGGTTCTTTCGATGTAAATTTTCCTGTATGGTAGGCAGGTCGTAAATACGTTGCCTGGAATTTCTTGAAGAATACGCTGCCGTGGTTCGACCTAGGTATCGGGTTCGTATCCGACATTTCGACATTTTCGACAAACACCGGTCGGTTTCTGCTTACATTCGGCCATCATTTTTTCGTTGTTATAAGTCGCGCTAGTATATTTTAGTTCGTCTGAAAGCGGAGTCGAACAACTTGATCCTTCGTCGCTTTCAGTTACCAGCGACCTTGACATCACTCCGCTTCAACGAGATCGTTTTGTCGCAAATTTTAAAATCGCGACTTATCTTCGTTGAAAATAAATTCTCAAGATAAAAGTAGATCCCAGAAGTGATATTGTATTCGTCTAAGAATTTTCTGCAGAGCGCGCGACTTTTGACACATACTCTGTGAAATTATGTAAAAATTTATAAGCAGAGATTGCTGTTAAAATGTTCCCCGAGGAATCGCTGCGATTTTTATCAGAATTCACAATCGATTGTTCGGTATTGTCGTCATGACCTTTGTTGAACGACTATATCTCTGTTGAACGCATTGTTAAACGAAGGCGCGCGAAATCATGCGCTAAGAATAATACCGTCTGCGATAGAGCGTTTCACCACGTCGCTTTAACAGCCTGGGAATGCTTTTCCGTAATATTGAGATGTACGTCAGTGATATCATCGTCGTCGTCGTCGTCGTTTCGAGAACTAAAATCTGTAACGAGATACGCGAGACCGACTGCGCGTACAACCGGATGCGAATTCATCTGCCGACGCTCTTCCGTTAACAAAGCATCGCGAATATATATATATATATATATATATATATATATATATATATATATGTATATATACGCGGAAAATAGATATGCGTTCTCGCGCGTTTGTCTCTCTGTCCCTAGAATGTCCCAGAAATTCCGAGTTCCGCGAATCCTCTGTTCCGATCGCCTGGTTCCATTACTGTCGATTAATAATCCGTAATCGATCTACTATTTTTGTGCAGTCCCATCTGTTAGTCGATATTGTTTTTCATGCGTTTTTAGATTCTCTTTTGAGCTCGTCAGCTTCCACCGTTCGCAAAACACGCTAATCCCAGTATTATCCGGATCATCGCGCGCGAAATGGCGATGCACCTTATTTGTATATAAAATTAAACGTGAGAGAAACGGCAAATTAGAGAGAGTTGATAGCGGGGCGAAAGTTGGAGCGCAAAACCATATTGTTGCGATCGAAACGCTATATCTCTCAAGATTACCTTACAACGACCGATCTCCATGATCCGGTCTCGTTGAATCCGTACGAATTGGATCGCGCCACTCGGACTAAATATATTCGCGGAAGTTCGGAGCAGAGATGAACTTGAGAACGAATCGTTAAGGGCGCGGGACGCGCCGCCCTTCCGAATAAATATCCGCAACTCCGAGCTGGCAGTCGTAGAATCTCGCCCGAGTCACCCGTTTTTCTGGCCTGAAACCAACTGTCCAACTTTCCCTCGAATAACGCGCTGTGTCTTCATTACTCTCTATTACATCGCACAACCGACCGGCGACCCGGCCGGCGAAATATTATACTTTATACGCAACACTAAAGTGTTGGACGTAACCCTTGTGCGAGGGTGGCGACTCGCGCTGATTAATACGTAATAACGCATTACTCGTTGATTTCGTCAAAGTTTGTCACCGGCCAAAGATTTGATCGAGATTAAATTTTGAACTTTTAGTACTTAGCGCGACCAAGTTCCAAATTAAGAGCCTGTGAAAGTCTTTGTGATCCCTTTGTTTCTCCTCTTTGTCGTTGAAACAAGAGTATCGCGAATACCTGTGTCTGGGTCGAGCCGGAGAAGGTTTGGTTGTTCGCGGTGTTTGAGGCGATTTCGTCGACAAGTCATTTTCCAGCATGCGAGTGCTTATTATATATTTGAAAGGCTCGGCAATCTACTGCGTATTTTTCTCGCTCGAAATCGAGGGAAATAGAGCCCGTTATCAAAGGACATTTCTCACCAACGGAACATACCATCGACTTAATTGACTTACCCCCGAACTATCTTTTTTCGAACACCATTTTGGCTCTCTTTTATCTCAAAATTTAAAAAAATAGGCTATTGTTGACGTCTCGACTGGTCGGTCGATCGCTATCTCCCCCTCCTCTTTCTCTCTCTCTCTCTCTCTCTCTCTCTCTCTCTCTCTCTCGACTATGAAGAGGACGGTACGACAAAGAGAAGCCCGACACAAAGTGCGAGAGGATTGCGAGGAGGAAAAGGGTGGCGTCGGGGATGAGGAGGGAGATAGTTGGATAGGACGCGAGTTGGCTTAAATTTAATTCACTTCTCTACCAACCCTTTTCTATTCTCTCTTTATCACGGAGCGAGCGACTGCTATGGCGGGTCGAAGGGAAGGGTTGACGGACGAGAAACGCGGGGAACGAGGTTAGTGGAAGACCAACTCGCGAATGCAATTTCCTCGGGGCACAAGCTGGATGTTCCCGTGGTCCGCAACTGTCCGTCCATCCATCGGTCCGTTCGTTCGTCTCCTCCGTCCAGACTGACCGATGTCGAGTCCTTTTTCCGGAGACTGACTCGCCGGGAAGGATCCTTTGAATGTGATGATAATGCGAACATCCTCATTTCACTGCGGCGATTCGCGCAGCAGGCGTGCTAATAACGTACGGCAGACGCCGTTTGAACATGATTTCAACTTCCTTGAACGCCGAGAGATCGGTTTAACCAGCTTCCCGGGAAAACGATCCGTGACGAGAGAAATGTCGACGCGCTCCTGCCTCGTCGCGAACAGAAAGTAGATCGTCGCGATATTACGATAATTGGATGCGGGTTTCATGACGATAATGACGCACTAATGGTACAGAGTTACACCTGTTACACGTAGAGCAATCTTGGCATGAGTTTTTTTCAGATAATTAAAGATAATAAGAGATGAAAGATAATATAATTTATAATAATTAAATACACAACAACGCGTGATATATAATACACACGCTCTTGTGTTTATACTAATATATTTTTCGAAAATCGTCCAGACTAGAAAAATGAACAAGAGAATATATATATATTACGTGGATATATATATCCAGCGCGTGCGTTTTTTCAGCTCGCTGAGAATTATTCCCACGCATGCTCGCGAATCACTTAGATTAATGTATACGCGAGCAGAGGACAACTTGTCAAGCGTAGGCGAAGATAAATATCAATTACCACTCGCTCATGTTTTCGTAGGAAACGAGAGGGGAAATCAATGATATTCGACGGCACTATCGCGTGACGTTGCAACGATTATAGAAGATTGTCTGTACTTCGTGTAACACAATTGCGCTCGGCGCGTTTGAATTGTGAATTTATGTGTTAGATTTAATCTACGTTCGCACACGGATAGGTCACTGGGTGTAGAAGGCACGTTGCGTAACGAGAGTTCTACGAGGGTCTCGTACGATGGAATCGCAACGGATTAATTCAATAGTATATACGCCGCATTAATGACGAGCGGTCGGCAAAAATCACGTAGCGACGACGCGGTGCACGTTTCCGGCGGCGAGCGCGATTTCGACCTCGTGGAAACGACGAGAGGAATTCTCGGGTTCGATTCTGTTCAGAGAGAAAAAAAAATTAGCGTTGATCCATAACGGAGAATCGGGTCACGTTGTACGGCGAATGCAATTTCGGTCGTGTAGGAGGCGACCATTCCGCCGTGCCGTAATCGTCGTAAACGGACGTCCCGTGAATACCGGGCCGAATATCTTGTTCTTTTTTCTTCCACGCGAGAACGCTGACTGGTCCGAAGGTTTCTCAAACGTGACGGTGATGCAAACTGCATGTCCTTGACGATACGTCGCTTCCTTGACGATAGCAAATAGGTACTGCGATATCGGAAAGAGATACGCGATATCAGTATTACTAAACGTGTCCGTCACGCTTTTGGCTCTGAACTGTCGAGTTTTCCATGAAAATTAATTTTCTCAAGCGGCGTCGGCTGCACGGAAATTGCTCGACGCTTTTGCGATAAAAATAAAAATTCATCGATCACGAATCTAAACTCGATCTTTCGGCGAGCGTGCGCGCGCGCGAATTATACGGAGCGTATACCAGAAGTTGCTCGAAACTAATTTCCGCGGTCATCGTCAGATACTTGATGAACACTTGGAACTTCAATTTCGCTAGTCGAAGTATTTGAAGCCTGTTGAGAATTTTTATCGAAAACTTGAACTAATCAACTTATCCCGACGCCATTTGCAGCTCCAGATCAGCGCCGGATTTGCGAGGCGAGAGGAACGAGAGGAAGGCGTCTCTCCGTCGGACTCGGCCAGAACCTTGGCGGCAACAACTCGTCGGTTGCCTCTTGCGGTACGCCCAAGGGAGTGATGCGACGCTCCGTGGTGACGTGATCGACCTCTCGGTCAGCTACGCGGCGTGACCTCGTTCGCGAGTGGCTGGCCGTTTGCACACTTCTTCGCGGGTAAAAAGTCGCGTCGCCGAATTTGCGTTTCGTACTGGGAGTGAGCGTTTCTTTTCAAGGCGGTGGAGCATCTCTGATACGTTCCCTTAACTCCCATCCGTTTCTATCTTTCTGGAATTTCCACGTACCGGCAGGAACAGCAAGGGGAGACGTCGCAATCCAGATTCCAACGAGGTTGCTCACCCTTATCTAGACAATCAAGAGAGAGAGAGAGAGAGAGAGAGAGAGAGAGAAAAGCCGTCGTCGTTGTCTGTCAAAATTGAAGATCAGAGCGAGACGTTGAACGAGATCGGAAAAGGCAAAGAAAGATAACTCGATCGAGAAGAGCGTTTTTGCGAAGGACTCGAAGGGACTGAAAAGGCCTCGACTTGTTCATGTTCGGAACCGGGAAGAAAACGCGCGAGAAAACGTCGAGAATATAAGGGCACCTTCATAACGATTGATCGAACGCTTGACAGGAAAAAGCCGGCAGAATTGAGATGTGTGCAAGAAAGGTCGTTTATCGAAGCGTACTTTTCTGACGGCCGAAGAAAAGGGCACAACGATAGGAATCTGTAAGGTATGACAAACGCGCAAGGAACGGAGCCTTGATAACAAGAAGAATCGAGACGACGGTGCTGCTATTTGAATCATTTATGAGAAATTCTTCATCAAGACGCACGACGCTCTTTCCGCTGCGTCGAGACTCTTCACGAAGATAAGCGGCGAAAGTGCAACGGGGAAACAAACGGCCTAATAACGAGACGCTCCTCGGGAAGCGTCTACCAGAAGCCAATGAAATGGACGGCTGGTTGGAACTATGAGAGCCGAAAAACGACAATCCAGGCGACCTTTGCGAAGCTGCGAGACCAGATCGCATGAAGAGTCCTATCGACCGGAAGAATCGAGGAGAACAATCTGATCCAACGAGGTCAGTGACCAAATAACTGCGAGTCCAGCAGAGGAAATAGATTCTAGAACGACTCAGCGAACGATGACGTACCCCCGCGACTCACCTTGAGGTTTGCACGCGACTCGTCGAGGGAAACAGCGTAGGGCAAGGTCGCGTTGGATGTCCGCGTGGCGAGGTTGCCCGCTTATCGGGAAGGTCGTTCGCGATCGCCGCAGTGATCGTTCGCGACGGTTGCGGACATCCCTGGTGGCCGCATATACGACGTTATCACGGAGATCATCCTGCCTTCCCCACTCGCGGCCACATGACTTGACGGCCGCCACTTCCTCCTCCCGCTGCTGCTCCTTCCCGTTGGCGGCCACCGAAGGCGGCGGCGGCGGTGGCGGCAACGTCACGACGTCGACGTGGACGATAGCTCGACGAGGAGTCAACGGCTGACAACGCTACGGTAGCGACTTAGTATTTAACGAGTGACACGGGTTGCTGGCGAATCAGTCGCTCGCCGGCAGCCGGTCCGCAGGTATAAGACACGCGCGGGTGCCTGCTTACCTGCCTGCCTGCCTGCGTGGGAGAGATCACGTGTTTATATGTGTGTTCGTGTGCGCGATTTTTTCCTGGGTCGTCTCGCGTATATAGTATAGAAGCAGAGCCCGATATAGGAAGAGATTTCCGGCAGAAGAGAATCGTCGGGGTTCCTGTACAACAGGAATAATAGAAGGGCAGAGGGTGGCACGAGTCCTGCCGGTGCTGTAAGAGTCTTTCTCCTCTTCCTTCTCGGCAACCGTGGTGCGTCGTAACGACCGTGGTGTTCGTCGTGGTGGCGCAGTGTTACCGTTGTGTCACTGCTATCCTGGCAGGTGGAAGCGGTGGCGACGGTGGCGGTGGTGTTGGTGCTGGATATATATAGTGGTGGATAGCGGTGGCCCGCGGGGGCGGCGAAACTGGAGCAGCAGCCGGTGACGGTCGTCGTCGTCGCTGCAGCGGAGGAGCTATCATGTGCACGCGGCGGATTCTCGGACTGGCGGTCGTGGCCCTGCTGACTCTCGGCGGTCGAGCGCGCGCGTACACCAACCAGTGGGCAGCACACATCGAGGGAGGAGAGGAGGTGGCCAGGCAGGTCGCCGAGGACTATGGCTTTCGCTATTTGGGCAAGGTCAGTGCCACGTGCCTGTTCCCGTCAGCAAGAACGAGTCTCGCTTTCTTCTTTTATTTCTTTCCTTTGTACGTAGCTTTCGGAGCAATATGCTCACCTGCGCGTCACAGACTGCGAGGAGAAATCTCCTCTGTACGTTTGGGATTTTTATTATACTCGAGTCGCGACATTTTGAGAAATTCTATGTTTACCTCGGCAATTTTAAATATCAAATTTGAAGGATCACTACAGACTATGATTTTTTTAATGCTACAAGTTATTATTTACTGTCGTATCGTTGATGCTTAAAGGGCTTATTTAATCATTAAGATCCTATCATCTAAAGAATCTACGCGTTAAGCCTCCATGTTGAGGTTTCAAGAATTTATCTAACAATTTTTAAATATTTATTTGTCGTTTATATTATTTGAGTCATTTTAATATTTGGTAAAGAAAACAAACTTTATTCTTTTATCATCTCTTTATTATTACGTTCTATTGGCGTTAGAAATTTCGACGGAAATTAATGATTCAAAAGAAACAAAAAGGATGTAAGGAGGAAAGTAAAATTCTTCGCCGATTGTCGCTGTATCCTCCGTTCTGTATTCCTGAAATTATCTCCTGGTTATCATAATAGGCGTTCAATGGAGATATATGAAAATATAAATTGATTGAAACACGGCGTTAATTAATAATCGCATGTTAATTGACGATGAGCGTTTAATATGAATTTGGGAATTTACAATTCAGGTACCGGAAATATCTGAAATATTCGAAAATGTCGATTATTGTGATGTCGAGTTGTTCAGTGATGGGCGACACCGGTTGCCTATGGGGGGAGAGGGGGGGTGACAATATTGTTCCGGTACTCGTGCGCGTCGCGTAACCGTCTCCGTAGCGGTCTCCGTGACCGAGTCATTGTGTCTCGAGTCGATGAAGGATACACGTACCGCGGCGCGTAGTATCGGTGCCTTATTGTGACCATACAATTCCCGTAATTAAAATATTTTAATTGAAATATTGAAATATTAAATTGGGCTCTCGTCGGCATCGCGTTATTTAACACGTGTTTTTCCGATCGAATCGTATCTACGCGAGTGTCAGTGTACGACGAAGCAGCCAGGACGGAGGATTCCGGGACGCGAGCAGCAACACGTCATATATTTCCAGGTGCGCCATCTTATTTATTACGTAAAATATTTCTGATTCTAACGATCGTTTGACGAATCATCGAGAATAAGGAAATGCCTGAGTCGAGATTTGAAATTTATTCTCCAAGGTCTGCATTCTATTACCATTTGATAATACAATTATATAATTCTTTATGAATTTCTAATTACTCGCCAATCTGTATTTATTTCACACAACAGATATCTATCCAAACAATCGAATAGCGATCAAGAAATACTAGTTAGTTATTAATTATCCTCTCAATTAGAGATCACATAAATGATATATCCTTGCAGATATCAGCCCAAGTCTCGTATAAGTGTTTCCGTTTTTTTTTTAATAATACTTCGTTGAATGCAAGTTTCAACTTGAATCGGCCCTTTTAATTTTTATTTCTATTTAGCTTTGTTTTTATGTCGAATTCATACTTAAATTCTTGTGGTGTTTGCGCAACTGCTATATCTTTGTCTTCATAATTCCTTCCTTTTCATCTCTTTTAATTAAAAAGAAATAATAACAAATGAATTGTGTATAAAGAAAATATATTATTTATTACTTATTTACTCATATTAATAATTTAATATTTATTTATCGTACATATTTTACCTATGTATTTTAGTTGGAGTATGTTACGTAATTAGAGATTTTATTGAAATCAAGAGTGAATATTAAATGCATATTGATATAATCGAATATTCAATAATTTTCGAATAAATACTTCTTCAATTTTTAACGTGGAGAAGACGGAAATAAATCACCATTTGTAGTATCAAGATAGAATAATAGCCTGTATGATTACATCTCGAGATTCGTCATTGATCCTTCAAGTTCGATGATACTTGCGGAGTTAACGCAGAACCCAAATTTCGACTCGAGTATAATCCCACTTTTGTACATGAAACGATGTCTACTGATGGAACCGTCTGCTTGATTGAGCGGTACCGTTTAATTAATCGACCGTAATGAGTCGGAAAGATGACGAGATCGGATTATCGTCTAATAGTAGGCGTTATTAAAGCAGAGCGGAGAATCAATTCGAGATACAGTTCCGTAACTCGACTCACGTAATGGAAATCTTTAATTCGAATTAATCAGTGGCTAACGATAAAGCTAAAGTAAGAATAAACCGCGCATCTTTTAATCGACTTGTTGAAAGTCAAGGTGGCAACGCAAGTCATGTCGTGGAATAAACAAGACTGACATCAGCGCGAACGTGAATTATACAACGCTGAAGATGCGGCAGAGATAATGTGGTTTAATGGTACCTTCTACTGGATGATAATCTGCGTTGTTTGCTTCTGCAGGCTCGATTATCACGCGATGTCGAGGCTAGAGTTACAAAATTTATTTATTTGACGACACGAGCCGAATATGAATGCGAATTGCGACGATATCGAGACGAGAAGAATTTTACACCACTTTTATGCTCTTCAATGACATTTTATTTTATCCATTTGAGAGAGTTTCAAAAAAGCGCTATCTGCTACGTGAATTGATATTTTAAGAAGAAACGTTTTATTATTATATGCCGCGTCGAGCGTTAAGTCTATGATTGACGATCGTTACGATCGGTTTCGTTGTCGATAAGCTCGTTTCCGTATGTCAGCTTGCGATATTTGAAAGAGAAAATGTAATATCTTTATCGGGGATTACTTCTTAAAACTTCAAAACATATTTTAGTATTTTTATCCTGAAATCAAGAGACATACATGGAAGACTTATTTTCTTTTCACTTCGGTAACGTGTAAGCCTCAAAGGAAACTTCCGAGCCGCGAGATAACGTTTGAAGTCGGAATTGGTAGAGAGAGGAAAAGAGAGAGAAACTCAATGCATTTCCGACCAATGGATCCCGTACGAGATCCATATACTATACCGGCTCCGAGTTAAATAGTATAAACTTGATAACTCCAAATTGAAATCCTCGCATATAACTCTGTTATCTCATTCGATCCCATTTCATCGATATACGATTTTCATTGTGAAAATGAACGCAATTTATAGTTATCCATAAATTTGATCGACACGACGTCACAATGAACTATCCCGCTTTTTTCTCCTAGACTTTCCCGAGGGATGTCACTCTGATTTTTAATGACATCGGAATTTTCATTATTTTCCACGATTCTCTCGGAGCAAACACGCGAATCTCGAACCCACCCTTGGATTCGGCATCGGATCCATTCTCGTCATTGCATTTCGCGATCACGGTGAAAAATTCCTTGCTCGCTCTGGCCGTTTCATCATCCTCTTTTCTCGTGATACGCGATATCGCCGAGGAGATATCGTATAGTGTGCATCATCGTCGACCCGCCGCATAATAATGTCCCGATAGTAATTTGTGCTCGCGGAATTATGTAACTCCTTCCGGAATTCGATATTTTTCGACTCACATCATGCTTTCGTAGCAGCTGCGACCTCGTTTTTGCATTTTATCGAAAAACTTCCGCGCGCGCATCTGCATCTCTCGATACACGCGAGCCGAAAAACAGATAGCTCAGAATCAGAAGCTATTTATGAGGTCGCGAATGCCGCGTGTTATAAATGCTGAACCGGCCTCTCGTTCGGAATGTTCATTTTCTTGGAGATCGCTGAGTGTGAATGTTTGCTCGGCTTAATGCGGAAATCAGCAAGCGCACGCACGCACGTACGCGCACGTACGCGCAATTAACCTTCCCGTTCATTTCCTACAATAACTTCTTTGTTGTAATTTCTCAAGGATATTTCACTTTTCAACACGTGGAATGAAAAATTTGCATATAACGCGTTAGCTCCCTTGCGAAATGTTCCTCTATCGGAATCGTGAGCGTGTCAATCCAAAGTCTATCCGAGCAGAAATCGCAGTCGCTTGAAGTCGCAGACAGAAGAGACGCCGCGCGGAAGCATTTCGCGAATATTCCCATCTCCGCGGTGAATTCAGAGCAAGCCGTGTTGTTTATCAGCCGAGATAACAATCCCGGTTATCATCTGCCTCGTGAGGAACAGTCGACTGCGTATGCTGACGTAAGTCATGTCTGACGTACACAAGTACGTACGCTTCGGCCGTGAAGGCCGCGACGTAGGCATCGCGAACTGCGCCCACCGAAGACGGAAATTAACCTCCGCGACAATCTCCTTTCTGCCTAAATAGTTCGAGAGAATCGAGCTCTCGCTATCTTTGGTTTCCACGTCGATTCTCCTTCAATCGCGCTCGACTCGGTGGACTCCAATTTGGAAAACCGCGCACGGCCGAAACGTCGGTGAAATATCACGCTCGCGATAAGATAGGCAGGTGCAGCGGTTTAAATTACGTTCGCTATACTATTTAGATTCTCGTTCAGTCTGAACGTTTATATATATATATATATATATATATATATATATATATATATATATATA